ATCTATTTTGAAGTACAGTTCTGCAGGCCACAGTAATCTGAGTTGGAAATTATTTTCTTTTAGGGCTGAAAGACTTCACTCCTGGCCTTTAAGTCTTGTGTTGAGAAATCTGCTATTATATTGATAGGATTGCCTGTGTAAGTTATTTGACATTTTCTTCAACATTTTTCAGCATTATCTTTTTGATCTGGGTTTCTGGAACTTTGATGATGATGTTTCATGGAGAAGTTCTTTTCTGACTTTGTGGGGTTTTCAGTGCCTCACTTAACTGGTTATCCAATTAATCAACTAGATTTGGCTTGTGTGTGTGTGTGTGTGTGTGTGTGTGTGTGTGTGTGTGTGTTTGAGACAGGGTCTCACTATGGAGTTCAGGCTGGCCTTGAGCTCACTTTGTAGCCCAGGCTGGTCTCAAACTCACAACGATCCTCCTACTTCAGCCTCCCGACTACTGGGATTATAGGCATGAGCTACTATGCCAGGCAAGATTTGGAAATTTCTCTCCACTGATTTTGATAAATACATTTTTATATCATTAGATTCTAATTCTAATCTTTCCTTAATTCTAATAATCCTTAGATTATTGACCCAAGACTTCTTTTTTTTTTTTTTTTTTTTTTTTTTGTATTTTAGGGGAGGGTCTGCAGGCTGGAGTGTTGTGGGGATCGAACTCCAGGAACCTGAGGCTGACAGCTTTGTGGAAGCAGCCACTTAAACAACTGAGCTAAGGCCAGGCCCCCCCAAGACTTCTTGAGTCACCTTCTGATCATCTTCTGGGCTTATCACTGAGCAAATGGCATGCGACCTCATCCTCATGTGCTGATGATGTTCTCTCTTCCGGCTGGCCACGCCTACTGTTAAATCTTTCAGGCTTTCCATTTCCATAATTTCTGCTTGATTCCTTTTCATATCCACTAATTTTCTACTGAAGTTGTCTTTCATATCCTGCACTGTCTTCCTTAATTTAGCTTCTTATTTGTTTCTCCTTTAAATTCACCAATAATCTTAGTGAGTGCTTCATTTCATTGCCTATTTACATCTGCTTTAAGTTCATTAATCATTTTATTAATCATTTAGTCAGCTGCTTATTTGTCTCTTCTCTGACCTTTTCAATCATTTTTACCTGGTTTGAGTTCTTTGTTTGGAAATTCACCCACTTCAGCGTCTGTGAGATCCACTTTTTTATTTTATTTTTTTGGTGGAACCAGGGATTGAACTCAGGCCCTTATGCTTGCCAGGCAAGCGCTTATTTCCCTGAGCCACCCTGGCCTGTGAGATCCACTTTAGGGGAGTTAGGAATTTTTGGAGGCATCTTGTTGCCTTGTTTTCCCATGGTTATTGTGTTTTGTGTAGAAGGTTGGGATCTGTTGGGATAGAAAGCTCCATCACTATAGCAGAGATGTCTTTAGGAAGTGGAGTTCTCCCTGCAATGGCTTTGCAAGGATCCTGCTCAGCTTCTTCAGAATAGTCCAATCCAGCCTTAGCAGGTACCCAGCAAGAAAGCAACGACCAGTAGAGGCAACATCCATAGGACCAGTCATGTATCAACGCATAATATCAAACTTGTTTAAACAGTTTTCCATTTTTTCAATAGCCCAGGAAGACTAGGGAATATTAATGATGGAGAATGGACTGGGAATTGGAAGAAAAGGGAGGGAACTATTGAAATAAAAGAGAATATAAAGGGGCTGGGGAGATGGCTCAGTGGACTAAGTGCTTCTCTGGCGAGGGCAAGGGCCTGAGATCAATCCCCAGTTCCACTAAAAAAAAAAAAAAAGAAAACATAAAAAAGAAGAAATGCTAGGTTTTGATGCTGTTATTTTTATGCCTGGAAACAGGTGGGGGGAGGGAAGAGAGGTTATGTGTGAGGGTAGAAAGAAAGAAGAAAAGAGAAGTAACTGTACGCTAACTTAACTCTTGTTAAGTTTAAAACCTAACCTTATATTACCAGCTAATGGAGATCTTGCTTAGAAAGATCTCTACTGGGCCACAGAGACAGCTCAGCAGTCTAAGCACCTGCCTAGGCAAGCACAAGAACAGGACCCAGGTTTGATCCCCGGCACCACATGTCAAGCCAGCCACCAAGACCAGGAGTGGTGGCACATGCCTGTAATCCCAGCACTGGGGGGGTGAAACAGGATTACCGTGAGTCTCAGCTGTGTAGTGAGACCCTGTACAAAATACATTTTAAAAAAGAGAAAGATCTCTACTTTTCTGTTATATAGGGGATGTCAAGGAGAGAAGGGTAATACAGTAGGCTACAGAAAACTACATTTAATGATGTTCAGATAAATACTAGTGGTGCATATGGAGAGGAGCAGAGAGAATGTAAAGTAAAAGAAAAAATATGGAAGAGAAGGGTTGAGCAAAAGAGAAGGCATGGGAGGGGCTGAAGAAGAGAAAGAAAAGTGCAGCCAGAGGCGAGAGAAGAGGAAGGTGACTGTGTCCAGCTGTTGAGCAGACTGTCCAAGAAAGATAAATATGCTTCAGAAGGACCTTTGGCATGGGAGTCTATGGTTAAGTAGCTTAATGTGTGAGGCTACAAAAGCAAGAAACAGCCACAGCTGCATGTGGATAGACATATATTTAAAGGTCAAACCTAATTACACTCAACAAGCAACTGATAGAAAGGAAGGAGAAATGGAAAAATATGTACACATATAAAAACAAACCAACTAATTAAGAACACAAAGAAGGAAGACAGCTGTACTCCTGGTTAGGAGAAAATCCCTGACTCTCATCACAGCTAGCTTCAGGTCGCCATTCATAGGGGCCTCCATGTGGACTGGGGGTGGTGCCACTCTCTCCGGTGTCTCAGCCTTGGGGCCCTGGATCGTGCACTGCCACAGTCTAGAAGACAAGCTCTGCGCCTTCCTTTCCTCAGGCTCTGGCATATTTGGCTCCAAGCTACCAAGGGGTTCCCTTTGTTCTGGAGCAGTTTCCCACCTCTCCAGCTCGGAATCTCAGCTGCACCCAAGGGTCCTGAAGGGGACACCCTACTCTGATTCAAGTGTTTATCCCTGACACTCACACAAGTCAACTGTTTTGGATCGCCAGATTTCTCCCAGGCTTATGATTCCCACCACACTCGGTAGTGAGGAAGGGTTGGAGGAGCCAGGGGTGGGGGAACCAACAGAAACCAGGCCAGGATCGTCCTCCCTCCCTCCCAGCACCCATCGCTTCTGCCTTTGCTTGGGTCTTCTGAATCTCTCTCAGGGTTATGGTTACCTCAGTGCTGAGTGCCATGGAGGTGCTTGCCTGAGCTGGGGTGGCAGGTGCAACTTCTAGCTCTGACCCAGTCCTCCCTAGGTCTCTGTGGTTCAAGTTTCCCACAACACCCTGGTGTAAAGGGACCCTCCCTCATGCAAACATCTCAGTCTCCTGTCTGCATCCCAGCAGCAGCGTCTCTGGGACCTGCCTGCCCACTGTTGTGGTGGCTGAGACAACTGCTAAGCTGTCTTCCACCTCTGGGGGTGTTTCACACAATGTCACAGTCTCTAGGCGTGCCCTATGAGCAGTACCCAGGTGTGGTGGCCCTCTCGGTTCTTACTGTAGCTTCCTCCACTTCTCTCTTCACCTGTTGGCTATACTGCTAGTTCCTTGTGCAGCTGCACAACTGCTGAGCTGGGTGAATGCCTTAGAGGAAGCCAATGTGCAGCTCCTCTAGACCACCATGGTGGAATCCCAACCCCAACTGCTCAGGCTCAAATGCCCCTGAACATTTACCAAGGAGGTTCTCCACGGGGGACTGTCATCATCGGTTCCCTATATGGTGGGCCTGTCAGCTTCTCCTCCAGGTATGGGAGGTCCTGCCCCTAGTTTGAATGTGGAATCGATGTCAGGAGCCAGACCTGCCCCAGGGGCTCTGGAAACCAAGTCCTGGGGTAGCAACAGCCAGTTCAGCTGCCGCCTTGGCACTCAGACCCCAGGATGGGGTGTAGCATCGCCGGCACCATTTTCCACGTAGCTCGCCTCGCTAGTGTTTTCCCGCCGGCCTGTGTAAATTCACATGGGTGAGGCGTGCACAAACTCATGCCCTTCCTCACCTGGGTTACAGGACGCACCTGGAACTGCGCACACGAGGTGCTCAGACAAAGCTGCGCAGCGGGCGCTGACGCCCCTGCCCAAAGCCCCACCATGTCTATGACCTTGCAGGAAGAACCCTCAGTGAGGAAGTCTGGCACTCTTAAATCCCTTTTACACAATCCTCTTCCTCTTGAGGCTTCTTAAAGGCCCTGGCTGACTTGGAGAATTGGACAAAACCCTGGATATTTGCCCAGGAAAAAGTTTATAAAGGAGCAATTCTGAAAATTGTTCTGGGGGCTCCTCTCTCATGGGTCCTGGACTCCCCTTCTCTGACCACCATCTCTCCCCTGCCAGTAGCCCCACACCTCAAGAGCTCTCTCCCCTGAGCCAGTGGGGAGCCTGGCCTCACCTTCCAGCTCTGTTCTTGCTGTTTTTCATACATGGGGTGCCTCCCGTCCCGTTCAGGGGTTCCTTCCCACTCACAGGATTCCTTCCTCACCTTACCTGCCCCATGCCTTACTCCCTGCCCCACCAACAGGGCTGTAGTGCTGTCACTGGGTTGTCAGCCCTTGGAGAGGATGAGAAGGACACCCATGGAGCCCTGCCTGATGGTTTCTCTCCTGGGTTGGGCCCTCAGGTCTCTCAGCAGTGCTGACTGTCCCCATTTTCAGATGAAGAAGCTGAAAGAGGTTAAGCAACTTGCCTGTTGGCAAGCTAGAAAGGAAATGGTCCCTCAAGGCAGGCTTTGCCTATGACTCAGGATCCAGAGCTGAAAGAGTATCTGTCCCCCGTCCAGCCTCCAGTCCAGCAGGGACAGCTGGCCTCAAGGCCAGTTCTACTTTGAGCTTTTGACAAACAGCATGGTTCTTGCCCCTAGCTTATGGCGTGGAATATCAGGCCAAATGATTCCTCATTGGCAAAATGTTGCTTTGGCACCAGCAGCCTATGAGGTGTTAACTTCATGACAGATGGCAGGCCTGAGTCCAGCCCTGCTCCCCAGGTGCTCTGGAGGGTCCAACTGCCTTCCTCAGATATCGCCCATGGACATCACAGGAGTTCAGGATGAAGAGTGCGCAGGCCAAGGCGTAGCCACCCTAATTAGAAACACCTAGGACAACAACAAAAGTAGAATCTGTCACAGAACTGATAGTCCTGTGGCCCCGTGGCTTGCTTCAGGCAGCAGAACTCATCTGGAAGCATGACCCCAGACCAGAGGTGCTAGGGTTGCCTGAGAACTTGTTATGATAACAGATTTGTGGGCCTCAAGGCAGCCCAGCAAGGAGAAGAAGCTTAGGAGGGCAGGAGGGGAGCAAGTGGGGCTTCAGTGAGCCTCCAGCCAAGCCTCCCGCAGGCTAGCATTTGAGAACTCACTGAGAGCCGTTTGGTTTAGGCACTCTAACTACCTTCATCATTTTCCCATGGCTGGGACAAAATACCTGATGCCTGCAACTTACAGGAGGTTCCTTTAGCTACAGCGCTCCTCACACAATGAATCCTCTGATGACCCTAGTGCCTTCATGATGCAGTCACCTTCTGAGATGGAGATTTGAGGGCATTTTAGATCTAAAACATAACCGCCATGAGAGAAAAAGACTCAAGCACTAACCTTAAGAAGCCATTCTGAAACTCTACACATAAAAATCCCTCCCAGTGGCCAGCCTGAACCCAAGGCATAGGAAAGCCCATCCTCCCACCCTGTTTTATGAGCTTGGGGCTCATACCTAAGTCAGCTTCAGATTTGCCTTCCTGTTCAGTCAGCCAGCTCCTAGTACCTTATCCCCCAGCACAGAGACTCATTCATCCTCTCCTCCCTGAAATTGCCATGTACATGCCAGAGCCATGAAAGCTCTGAGGCAGCAAAAGAGAGAGGAGTGCCCAAGGGGGGTGAGGCACAAAGCAGCCATTAGGAGGGGATTGAGGAGATGTTTGCGGAGGATCACGGAAGTGTTTGCAGAGGATCATGGGAGCCCTGACTGGTTCAGCAAAGATTTTCAGAAAAGGGGTTATTTGCCCTGTAGGCTGGGTAAATTTCTGCTGCAAGAGAGGCCGGGGTGGCGCTTCAGGAAAGCAGGCACACCAACAAAACTCCATGAGCACAAAGGTGTGTGGGGCGAGCACACAAGGCTCATAGTGAACCAAAGTGGGAACCGTGAGACAATCACAATATAGCATTTCAGGTTCCTAAGTTATCCTTTGGTTACATTCACATCCTGATATAGGAAATCAGTTGTATCTTATAATTGTCATTGGCTATGTTTTCCTTAATTGCTTTATTTATTTATTTGGGATTGGATCCAGGCTCCTTTTATCGATCAGACTTTTTGCATTTTGCTATTATTTATTTTTAAAATCTGAGAAAGGGTCTTGCTAAGTCATCAAGCTATCCAGGCTGGATGCAAACTTGGAATCCTCCTGCGTCAGCCTCCCACAGTGTGTGCTACTATGCTCTGGCTGTATTTTCCTTTCTCAGTGCTTCTTAAAACAATGTTAAGGTGGACTACCCACTCCGGCCCCCCCTCCTGTCCCTCTCTTGGACAGGACCTTTCTTTCCTCCAATAAATATATTCTGTTCATAACCTCCATTTGTTCCTAAAATTCATTCTTCAGTTTTAGAGAACACGAACTCATCCCAGGTAACTTTCAGCTCAGGAGTCTCATTTTCCCCTGATATCATTTGGAGGTTATCCACCCAAGATCAGTTTTTCTCCCTGTGTCATCTGGAGGTTCCCACTAAGATCATTGGATGGAGGTATGAGCTTGCTTTTCTTTTATAGATTCTGAATTGGGACTTGCTTAGGCAACAAATTTTCTTTTTCTTTTTTCTTTTTTTTGGTGGAACTGCGGATTGAACTCAGGCCCTTGTGCTTGCCAGGCAAGCACTTGTTCTACTGCGCCATCTCCCCAGCCCTGCAACAAATTTTTATGCTTCTAATTTTGATATATCTTTGCCCATTGCTCATAGTTGTTCATGTTTTGCCTCATACAGTTTTATTTTATTTTTTATTTTTTTGAACCAGGGATTGAACTCAGGCCCTTGTGCTTGCCAGGCAAGTGTTAATTCTATTGAGCCATCTCCCTGGCCCCATTAATTTTTATTTATTATTATTATTATTATTATTATTTTGGCAGAACCAGGGATTGAACTCAGGCCCTTACGCTTGCCAGGGAAGTGCTTATTCCACTGAGCCATCTCCCTGGCTTCCCCCCCCCCGCCCCGCCTCATACAGTTTTGTCTCATATAGTTTGGTTAAAATTGCTTATAATGCTTATGCTTTGTCTCATATGGTTTTGTTAAAATGTTGGTCAAAATGTTGGTAAATCTAAATTAAAAATTGGAAATAAGGTTATATTTCTTTAATGTGACTTTTTTAAAAAAACTTTTTATTTTATTTATTTTTGTGTGTGTGTGTGATACCGGGGATTGAACTCAGGACCCTGCACTTGCCAGGAAGGTGCTTATTCTATTGAGCTATTTCCCTGGCAAGGAGGGTTTTCTTTTTTGTTTGTTTGTTTGTTTTTTCTACTTCAGGCTGCCTTAAGGGCAGGTCTGGTACAGCTTCTGGAGCTGGGAATCGAACCACGGTCTTATGCGCCTGCCTGTATTTACCCAAGTGGCGCTTTAAACAACTGACCTATCCAGCAAAGCCCAGTGTGACATTTTTATAACTTGTTTTGTGTTTGTATATATTGCATTTGAACTAGTTGCTAAATGTACTGATATCTGATATTCCTTGCTTGACTTTAGACAATCATGCTAGAGAGAATAAAGCAAGGAAGCCTCCTAGTGGACTTTATATAAACTTCTATAAAATGGGACTTTCAAATCTAGCTCAGATTTAGAAAATATACATGCCTGTATATGAAATACGGGACTCCTTTTGCCAACTAAATGACAGTAGGTTGGCAACCATTGTTAAAGACTTGGAGGACAGGTTTCACTGGGACTCACTGGCTCTGATCCCTCTCTACATGCTAGAGGAAATGTCAGGCCTGCTCTGTTTCAGTTTCCTCTCTTTGACCTTACTCCTAATTTTCCTAACTCTTTGTACTTTCCTTTTTAGAGGCATATAAAATTAGGAGAACAATATAGACTATTCCAACTAAGTGAAGCCCTTAGAAAATGAGCATTTGTTAATGCTGAAGACAAGGAAGTCATTTTAGAAAAAGGACACATACTCCATCTCTGGGTCAGATGAGACAAAGGACTATGCCTGTCCAGGAGGACACACATAAAATCCATGTCCTAGCTTAGTGTTCTGGGAAGGTCTCCTTCAGGAGGCTAAACCTGAGACACAGTGGAGAGAACTGATTTCTGGGTGACACCAGAGGAGCTATCTCCAAAAGCAGCACACTTGTGGGACCAAAACACATTTAGTGTGAGGGGAGATCTCCAACCTTTTTTCCTAGGTCTAGATATCATTTAGGTGCATAAGAGCTAAGTTATGGACTTTAAAACCTTTACTGTAAAACATTAGATAATCTTGTTCAGGCTATTAACTATCCCTTATAGAACTTGGACAAACAGTGGTTACTCTTCTAGCTAGTAAATGCTCCTGGAGCAGCTGCCACTCTTTGAAGCAGAAGACAGGTTTCCCTAGCTGTTCTTTGGTGAATCCCTATTGCAGTCTATGGCTGATGGAATGTTCACCAGAAACGCAGCTGGCTTCCTTTGTGGAGACTGATCTCTGGTTGTGTGGGCCAATAGAAAGTGAGAACAGATGAGGGGTCATGGCTAGGGTTACTCTCTGGTAAATACCTAAAGGTGCTTGGTGGAAACTGGCTCTTAACCACTGAAAGATCTCCATTTACCTATTGTACTTTTTTCTCTCTTTCTGCTGGTAAACTAGAAATTTTACCTGAGCTTTTCAGTAGAACCCTTTAATGAGTCATTCCTTCAGAAATTAGGCTGAGGCAGCTTGCAACAGTTTACATTCCATAGCGACTATTAGGGGAAGGATTTACACCTGTGCCTAACATGTTAACTAAGAAAGATTTTTGTCAGCTTTAATGTGTTTTTGCCAATATGTAAAATATGATTGTTAGATGACAAATGTAAGCTTTACCTGTGAGCTCCACAGATTTAATAGCAAAGTCTGCCCTGGTGGCTAGATGGAAGAACACAAGTGCCTTAGAGATGTCTTTGACCGAGGGCCCAGGGCAAAGTTCCTCCAGTCAACCGTCTCTTTCGTCTACCTCCAAAGGTGGTCTCTTTTACAGTACAGCAGGGAAAGTGCTCTGCTTCCAACACACCTTTTTATACAATAGTTATGCTTCTTTCTTTACATGTTACTGTTGCCAGACTAACTGTAACATATTTACGAATATTTAATAAGAGTAAGTGCATGGTTCACACAGTTCATGAGGTTCTTGGGAGACAAAAATCGCACACCGGTTCGAGGGTGCATAGGCTGCTTGGCTCTTGTCTCCCCTTTCTCCAAGAGCATCCACCTGCTCTGGAGTGGTCTACTCAGGTGATGCCTTGAGGGGGAATCAATTAGAGGTAAGGTGGGGACATCCAGAAGTCTTTCTTTTTGCATTCCAGATTACAGGAATAGCACAGTCAAAGTCTCTTACTCCTTTAGAGTACAACATTATGCACTGGAAGACTTCTGATCCATACACACTGAAAAAGAACTGTTTAATATTTTTCTGCATATGTGCATGGCCTATGTACCCCCTAGAGCCAAAATGGAATGCAGAGGGAAGTATCAATTATGACACTATTTTACAACTGGAAAGCAAAATGGTAAGAAAAAGTCTTATGTTCAGATTTTGTTTGCATTAAGAAAGTCACTGTTATCTAGTTTTAAAACGCAGATGTGAGCTACAGGAGAACCAGGCAGTTCAGGGGCCTAAGGCATTCACTACCCCGGAGTCTAAGGCTGCTCCTCCCCAAAGGAGCCTACGGACAAGACAGTGTTAATCGCAGCTTGCCCACCATTAGTGAAAGTAAGGTTTCCCCTACTTGCCCTTCTGAAGGGTGGGCTTCTAAAACAGCTGTAGTCCAGGCCTCTACAAGGCTACGCCCATCCTTAGCTGAATGTAGACAAGCTCCTCAAGGACGATAGCCTTTAAAGAAGTAAATGGGCAATTTAGAACTTCTAGAGT